GTAGACTTCTTGGTGGAGGCATGGGATCTGCTGACTATTGCTACGATTCGTCACGCATGGAGACATGTGTTGCATAGCATACCAGGTGAGAGGAGGAGTGAACCTGTGACTGGTGAGGTTCAGACTGTTGCAGTAGCAGTGGACCTTGCCAGAGAAGCTGCGCTCAATATTACAGCTGAAGGCTTCTCCGAGACCACCAACGAAGACATCCTGGGGGTGATCAAAGATCCTGAAGTGACTGCCGACGAGATGTTGGAAGAAGAACACGCCAGTGAAGAGGAGGAAGAAGGTGCGTCATTCTCCGAAGAACCTAGTTTAAGTCATAGTGATATTAAGTGTGTCACAGAGTTTACAGAAAAAATTATGTCCGTCCTTTCCCGCGACAATGACGATGAACGCTATGAAGTCTTCCATACCCGACTGGTGCAGGCTATGGAGCCGTACATCAAGGTGTATCACGACAACATCAACACCAGCCGTCAGCAAAGCATAACCGAGTTCTTCGCCCGCAACCCACCACAGCCAGCCCAAGCCAGTGATAGTGAAAGTGAAGTTGACTTTGAGGGATTTGTCAGGGAAGCCCTGACAACTGTAAGTGACAGTGATGTTGATTCACCTAGTAATGGTGATTCACCTGAGGGCCAGTAATCTGCCCTCTGCCTCGGAACCAGCCTCCATCCCCGTATGCCGACCCATCTCTTCTACTACCGTAAGTGTTCCACAAAATTTTTCGTTTTTTAACCTATTCTTTATTTTTCCTATGTTAACCTTTATCTTTCCTAACCTAACCTCTTCTATATTACTTGTTTTTTCATACCATCATAAAGTTAAGATAGAATTTTTACTACAACATAGTTATGTGTCGTCAAAAAGTGGAGTTTGGGGGTCGGGCTGGGTTCTATTGGAATTAATCCCATATGTTCTGTTGTTCACTTAACGCGGATTTCACTTAACGCGGGACCCTCTGGGTTCAATTGACCGCGTTAAGTGGGGTACAACTGTAATAGTTTTTTAACTGAAAACGATTCGAAAAACACGTACCCTGTAGCCCTGTTCAAGGAGAGGACTGGGAGAAGTTGTTTGGTGCTGCAGACGATGACAAGGAAAATGATATGGATGGATTTTAATGAAAATATTCAGAAATATGGTATCGTAGTATTTATTCAAGTCAATTAGGATAGAATATTATCGTAATACAACAGTTTTTTAACTGAAAACCAATCGAAAAGCGATTACGGTAACATCTTTTGAACAAAAGAAAGCGAAAGTCATTGTTTTTGTCACAATTTTATCCCACTTTCCACTGTAATACGTACGTCATTTCAGCAAAAATATTACATTTCCGTGAATGCATTATATCAAGCACAGTATGAATAGAATACCATTGTAATATAACAATACTTTAACCAAAAACTATTAAAAAAACGAGCAACTTCTCTTGAACATCGGAAGGTTAGGTAAAGTCTTTTGTTTTCGTCATGTATTTTATCCTATTTTACATTAAAATACATCAACGTTTCAGCAAAACTAGTTTTATTTCCGAGAATATATTCATTCAGGCGCAGTTTAGGTAAAATATACATGTGATGTAACAGTTTTTTAACTGAAAACGATTCAAAAAACACTCAACAGCTGGTGGTGCGTCATGCGTAGTTGTAAACAATAGGAGGTTGAAGTAGATTACCAGGTATTATATTAAGTGTGAAATATCGAAAAGGTTTTTATTACCGGTATTTTTTGTAGATCAATGAGAACTGTGATACCGTATATGATATGATAAGTTAGCCTGTGCTAAGAACTTCAACATAGACTACTGAAAGCACGTTGTAAGGTAATTTAACCTATTGTAAGTTGGTGAGCTTCATTTACTGAAGGAACTGCACACCTTTTCATTACTAATTGGTACATATTTTACGTTTCCATTGTTTACTGGCAGTAAATGGTAAATATTTTTCATGTCTGAAGCTAAAAGTTGCTCCTCGCCCTTCCCATCATGCACGGGTTCAACCTAACAAAACTATTACGCATGTATAGGACGACCCCCAATTTTTAGCCTAAAAATTTGGTCTTTAAAACTCGAACTACACATGAGTATATATATATATAATATATATATATATATATATAAATATATATATATATATATATATATATATTTTTTTTTTTTTTACAAGGATTAGCCCACCCGGGCATAGGTCAACCTGGGCATAGGTCACTGACCCTCATCGGAGCTTGCTGGGGGGGTGGGGGTGGGTGTGGGGTGTAATAATAATAATAACAATAATAATTAGTTCATTGTAAGTACAATTTATAATAAAAAATAAAAAATAAAAAATAAAATAGTAATAGCTACACTGATAATACTGTAATAATCATAATAATTTAGAACCATAAAGAAATGCAAAAATGAAAAAGATCAAAAGTGAGAAACAATATATGTGTGTTGTGTTGTCAATAGTAAGAGAAACAATTGAGACCCTGCAATTGTGTGTAAATGTGGCAGAAAGTCAGATCAGCAACCTGGGACTTGGTCACAATTTTTCTGATGCCATATGGCATCAGGGTCTACCAATATCTTCCCAGGCAGTAGTACCCTGTACCTCCCTGTTTGGTAGCTGCCTACTACCTGTTCGATGAATTTACATGAAATTAGATTAGCCAACTTTTTAATTGTCTTGCAGGTCACGGCGTAATGCAGAAAATGCAGCCTCTGAAGAAAACATTCGACAAACAGCAGCCCCTTTTCACAAAGTGGGTAAGAAGGCTGAGGAGATCCAGCAGCAGCTAGCAGAACTAGCCAGTGAATATTTACAGTTACATGCCAGTGCAGTCAATCTAAAAGCAGAGGTTATGAAGGTGATTATGTCATTCAGTCTTTGCTTCAAGGAAATAAATTATCTTAAGTAAATTATTTGAGGGTTTTGTGGAACAAAAAATATGTCTATCTACTTATTTTCATAATTCTTCTCCCTGTTTTTTATGGTTTCGATTTTGGGTTATAGAAACTTCAAATAAGAGGAGAATTGGTAGGGGAGACAAGTAAATTATAGAAAGCAACAAGAAAGGACTATTTATTTAAGCTAGTCCGGAAACTACTGAATGATTGTCTTGATTGTAAATCTTCGGTGCTGGAGGCCTTGATGGTGTGTAAGAGAGGGTGGGTTAGAAAAATCATCACTTACTGTTATACTCCAAGTTGTCTGAGCCAGCCTTTTCTTTTTCAGCAATTTATGTTGTTGTAATTTCAGTTTTGTTCAGTTCCTAACTTTGCAAATTTTTATTGGTCGAATGCACATACGAGGACTGTCCAAAAATGAAACCAAACTTTTAAAAAACTAATTTATTGCTTTACTTACAACTTAATCAGGCTTGCCTCCTTCAAAGTACTCCCCTCCTAACGTTTTTTCCAGTTCTGGAATGCGTTTTGTAGGGATGGTGCGCAGGTCTCGTAGCGAATTTTCTTCTCTCTCTTCTATCGTCTGAAATCGGCGACCTTTCAGGGTGGATTTCAACTTTGGGAACAAAAAAAAGTCTGCAGGGGCCAAATCCGGAGAGTAGGGCGGCTGGGGGACAATAGTCGTCTCGTGCTTCACCAGAAAGTCACGGATAAGGAGCGACGCGTGAGCAGGTGCATTGTCATGGTGCATCATCCAGGTCTTGTTTGTCCACGCCTCAGGCCTCTTCCTTCACACTGCCTCCCTCAAACGCTTCAGGACCTCGAAGTAAAACTCTCTATTGACTGTTTGACCACGTGGAACAAACTCATGATGAACGATGGCCTTCCAATCCAAAAAGACGATCAACATCACCTCCACATTTGAGCGACTCTGACGTCCAGATTTGGGATCGTCTTCGGTGGATGTTCTTCCCCTTTTGAAACGCAGGTACCACACGTGACATTGCGTACGGCTCAAACATTTGAATAGTCCCCTTAAAAGTTTTTCCCAATTTGAAACAGAATTTCACGCAAGCACATTGCTCTTCAAGATCCTTCATTGTTCAACTTGCAACAAATCGCCAAGTGCACTAAACAAATATTCACTCTAGCGCTTGTAGCTCGATGACTAATTGACGTGGCGTGATGCGGCTAGTGTTAGACTAAAGGTCAAGGTCACCGCTACACAGTGTTCCCATCGCGATCATGCTGCACCAGCTAGTTGGGGCGCTATATATATATATATATATATATACAGTGACCCCTCGGTTAACGAACTCAATCCGTTCCAGAAGGTCGTTCGTTAACCGAAAAGTTCGTTAACCGAAACCATTGTTTCAATGGGTTTTTGGGTAATTGGTTCCAGCTCACCGAAAATTTCCTAAATTCAACAAAAATGGTAGAAAAGTTCACTTACTTTGAGGTGTGTATGTAGAAGGCTCCTGGATGATGAT